ACATTTTCAAAAGAACTATTGGTTGGTAGAGTCAATAAGGTATGGACATTAATAAAGTATCACAAAGACTCGCTTGCCACGACGACGGAAGATTGGTCCAGAGTGTGTTAGGTCGTCAAAACGTGTTAGAAACGTCATACATCGTTTGGTGGTCACTGTTGTCGCCAATGTTCGCAAAGACACGAACAGATCGCCAAACTTGTCCAAAACAAACGCAAATGTTACCCACCTTTTCAAATACAATTGGTTTCTGCATGATTGGTTGCGGTGGTGACATCGAGGCTAAAACTGTTAGAAACAGACGATCTTTTTACCTGTTCAGGTATATTGGTGTAACAACAAAATTTTCACCTTTATATACCTGCTTCAAATGGATCTAAATTTCCATTGGGCACCGCAACATCCAATGAAATATCATAATGTTGTTTAAATTGAAGTGTAAAAACATACAAAGCACCCATTAATGACAATATTTGCATTCTAATTGACGACAGGATTATTCATATGAAGACCTTAAAACTAACAAAGAACTCGAACTAGATTTAACCTGTTCCACGTGGTTGTATTCAGGACTAGGCCAAGGGTCAGGAACATCCTGTTCAGCTACCCATAAACAAAATAAGTGAAAAATAAAAGTGTTTACAACATATATAATTACATGGGGATTTGTAATAACAACTTACAATGTTTCATTATGCAGCATATTAGCGCACCTTAAAGCCTTAAAGGGATTGTAAAGAGGTTTTCTGAAATTTTATGTATATTGGGGACACCGGTGTTTTGAATCCTCCGCCGAAGGCAGACCGCCTACGCCATCCCGCCAGGTCATTTGAGACTTGATATTCTTGAAGTGAAAAGCACGTTTTTCTTATGCAGACAGCAATAAAAAGTTGGAATGTTTTTATTACGTATGACAAAACGAAACAATAAATAAATCTTTTTTTTTCAACATAAAAATCTTTAGCAATCCTACTGTGGCGAGTTTGAACGTGAACTAAAGTAAGCTCGCCATGTTATTTTTTTTTAATTTTACTTGTGAGTAGAGATATAGTCGGCGACTGCATTTTCGACTTTCTGTTGTTAAATCGTAAATAGGCCTAGTCATAGATCTGTAGGCTGAAGGTTGCATAGCCTATATGACCTAAATTTAAATTTCCTAGAATTTTAAGTATTGTAACATTGCAATCAAAGTGGAGCATCTAGATTTTCTGCCTTTACGCTAGTCTAAAATTGATCAGAAAAAGCTCTGGTGGCAAAGGTTAGCGATAGTGATATGTGAAACTGAAATATAGTACAATCATTGAAATAATCAATGATTAAATGACTATTCTTGTGATAAATTACTATTTATTTTACACTAATTGTACATTGTATTGTTTGATATCGTACATTGTATTGTTTGATATCGTACATTGTATTGTTTGATATCGTACATTGTATTGTTTGATATCGCACATTGTATTGTTTTGTTTGATATTGTACATTCTATTGTTTGTTGTTGTACATTCTATTGTTTGTTGTTGTACATTGTATTGTTTGATATTGTACATTGTATTGTTTGATATCGTACATTGTATTGTTTGATATCGTACATTGTATTGTTTGATATCGCACATTGTATTGTTTTGTTTGATATTGTACATTCTATTGTTTGTTGTTGTACATTCTATTGTTTGTTGTTGTACATTCTATTGTTTGATATTGTACATTATATTTTTTGATATTGTACATTGTATTGTTTGATATTGTACATTGTATTTTTTGATATTGTACATTATATTTTTTGATATTGTACATTGTATTGTTTGATATTGTACATTGTATTTTTTGATATTGTACATTATATTTTTTGATATTGTACATTGTATTTTTTGATATTGTACATTGTATTTCATTATCATTGAAAAACAGAACAGAACAGAACAGAAATAGGGCGTTTCAATGTTTCATATTAGGTAAGGGGAAGG